AGAGAGAGAGAGAGAGAGAGAGAGAGAGAGAGAGAGAGAGAGAGAGACTCTGTCAGTGGATGGGCCATATTAGACAAAATTTTAAAAAACAAAAACAGATGATAGACTTAGTTCAAAATATTGAGCCAGGGCTGGAGAGATGACACAGAGGATGGGAACACTGGCTGCTCTTCCAGAGGTCCTGAGCTCAATTCCCACCAACCACATGGTGGCTCACAACCATCTGTAATGAGATCTGGTGCCCTCTTCTGGCATGCAGGCACACATAATAAAAATAAATCTTTAAAAAATATATATATTGAGCCAGCTCAGTGGCTCAGCAGGTCAAGGCCAGTCTGATGACCTAAGTTCACTTTCTATGACCCACATGATAGAAGGAAAGACCTGACTCCTGCAGGTTGTCTCTGTCCTCCACACGAGCCTGGTTCACTCACATGCAGCATACACTCACTAAATAATGTAATAAAAGTTTGAAGCGTCGGGAATGCACACTTCCACGAGCTACTATTTTCCGGCCTAGGAGATTGGCAAGAGTTAAAATTTTGAAGTTTTCAGAAAGTAGCAAGGTTATTGGGGTGGTGGGGGCACAAATGAACTAGAATTTGTGGGGAGCTATCTAGTGTCCTTCCAACTAGTTCTACTTTTTGAGTCTGGCCTAAAGAAGAATCTGTGTACAAGAATGTTTTCAGAGCCTTGATAGGACAAAGGACCAGCAAGCCATCCAAAGCAGGGAAGTGCTTAATAGAGCCCTGATGAAGGGCAAGGCTGCACAATGTGGTGCATGCCTGGAGTCCCTACACACACACGCACACACACACACGCTATAGGCAAGGAAGACTGGAGTTCAGGGTCATCCTTGACTACATTGTAAGTTCAGCCAAGGCTACAAGGCCCTGCATTTATTGAGGAAAGAAAGGGGTGCGGGAGTGGAGAAGAAGGAAAGACAGACATTTTCTTGTAACAATGTGTGTGCGGTGAGGGCTGTAAATGTCGAGGGAGTGACACTTTTAACTCTACTCTTAGAAATCCCATGATGTCACTAAACCCATGATGTGCGTAGGGACGCTGTTTGCTCTATTAAAGCACAGGTTTGCCTGGAGCATTACAGCTGACCTTTATGTGGCTCTTCCTGGTGCCTGGAATGGTGGCAAGGACTCTGTGCACATTGTCTTGGTTAACTCGCAGCAGTGCTATGAGATAGGTGAACTTAACCCCATTTTCCAGATGAGAACATTGAGTTCAGTCTAAGTGGCTGACTAAGGCCACAGAGCCAACAGATGGGAGCATTTTAACCAAACTAGCCTAACCTTGTCAGTTGGAGCCCCAGGAAGCAGGCATGTGGAGCAGGTCTTCCAGTTTTCATATTACTTTAGCCACACTTTGGAGGGGTTAGAATTCACATGCAGTACAAACGGGTTCCTGCTGTTTCTTGAGGGAATTCCTAACTCACCTCAGCCATGGCACATTGGTCAAGCAAAGCCTGTTCTAGTACAGAAAAATGAGGTCTCTAACTAGCCGGGACCAGGCCACTGAGGTGACGGAGATTCTACTACAAAATAAAATGGTAACATGGGGGTGGGGGGTGAGTTTGGTCTGACTAGGGAAATGGAGCTGAGGAGTCCCAGAAATGAGAGGAAGACAAAGAGGGGTGAGGAAGGACAAGAGCTCACAATGTGACCCAGACTGAAAATGCATGGGAGAGCTGGAGGCGTGGACCAACCATGAGACGTGTGCAAGAGGACTTGGTTCTGGTTCTGCTCCAACAAAGAGACAGACAGAGGGGAATGGAGGGGGAAGGAAGGGAGGAAAGGAGAAGAGGGGAGAGAGGCCACCACTCAGTGAATCAGTGAGAAGTGGCAGGGTGGCCCAGAGTCTCTAAATAGACACTTATGGGTGTCCTCGAGTGAGTCTCCTCGAGTTGTGGGTAGCATCACCCTGACTGGGCTTTGCCATTCCATGAAATAGGGTTCAGGACTCAGGAAGAGGGGGAAGCAAACCAAGCACCCCCAGCCTGTCACCGGTTTCCTGATTGTGAACACACCGTGAGCAGCCTCTGAAGCTCCTACCGCCATGCCGTCCCCAGCACGATGCCGTCCCCAGCACGATGCCGTCCCCAGCACGACAGACTAGCCCTCAAACTGGGAGCCACAGTAAATCCTCCCTTCAGTTGCTTTTTGTTCGGTATTTTGTCTCGGCTGTGAAGAAACACAGCCAGGTACTGATAAGGGATCCTGGTTCTCTTCCTATGTGAAAAGGCTAAAATTGTCGGAATGCAGAAATTCTAAGAGAGTCAAGCACACCATGTACACCAGCCCTTAGAGACCATTGGCAGAAGATGCTAGCATGCTGAGGAAATCAATCCTTTCCGTGTTAGTGGTTCTTTCAAGCTTCAAACCCTCAACCACATGGACTCACTAGACATTCCAGACTCTGGGTCCCTAAGATCCTGGAGAGTTGCTGTCAGTGTGGTCACGCGTGCTGGCTTTGCCAACGGGGCTAGAACCTTTTCTGTATTGTTGCCACCACGATGTCCAGGCCTGTCTCATGTGGGGCACATTCTGACAAGATCCGACACCCTGGCAGCTGTCCTATGTCCTCTAAAAGGTCCCTGTACACTCTGAAGTTCGAGCAGAGTCCCCACCGTGGCTCACAAAGCCAGAGTGAGAACTGTAGGGATGTCAGGTTTGTCCGGGGGCTGGGGCGAGGAAGTCCCTACAACCTTGGTCACAGTGTCCCGCACTTGCTAAGAGCTCAGTGGGAGGCATCTGTGATGATTACTCAACAATGGTTGGGGCTAGTACAAATCAAATAGTCTGTGCAGCCAGCCCGGTCTTACTTGTGTCTGTGCAAGCAATTTCTTATGGAGACCACTGAATAGCAGTAGAAGTCAGCAGCTGGCTTGGGCATGAGTCTGCTTTATCTGCTAATGAAGACACTGGATGTTAAACTTGAAATGCCTATATCCCCAGAGCCCAGAGAGACAAGGACATAGTCACAGTCTTCCAGGCCCATCTGTGCTTCTTGGACCTTGTCTTTTCCTACTGGTGACAGAAGGGCCTGTCCTTACCAGTTCCCATCAAACACCTTTGGAACTGCCTCTGAGCGGTCACTGTGGCCACTGCCCTCTCTTCGGGCTGCTCCATCAGGTGTCATACTCGCCCAGCACTGGTTTGTCTTCACCCTTCACAGTCCCCTTTAATGTTGCCATTTTCAGGAATTTGTGTCGGATTTTTCTTGCCACCCCATCTTTGGGAACATCGAGGCCAATGTCAGTCAACCATCCTGCTCCGATTGGGAACAGCCAAATCAGGAGCTCTGGTCTCCTATCTCCAGTTGCATTATGGGCATCTCTACATGGACGTCTCCAAGCATCTCTAATTCCACATGCCCGAA